TGGCGATGCCGCCTCAAAAGATGATGATGTCCTTTAGCCGCATTTGGGGATTTCGACGGCCCCTTTTCGGAGATCGGAGAACGGCGAACGGAGATCGAAGATCGAAGAACATCGAACATCGCAGCAGCAAAAAGCGACCGCTGAGCTCAGCAAATATTCAATAATTGCAATTATTTCTCATATTTAATGAAGCCCCTCGTCGCTTTGGCCATCCGGAGTGATTTTTTTCCTATAATGAGACTCGCAGTTGGCAATTTGGTGGCTCGTTTATGGCTAAATTGCTAAGTTTGGCTCGACCAAAGGTGATCTGAATTGAACCGAACCTTCACTAGGTATCTTTCTGGAACTCTTTCATTAAAAACCAAAATTAAAATAACGAAAATTAAAAAAAAATCCATAAAAATATTTAAATTTATTTTTCTGAGTACCTCCTATGAGCCAGGTTCCCTTGAAGAGCTTTTGGGTCACTTATCTGAGATCCCGGGCCGAACTTGGATTGAATTCCCGGTAATCGTTGGACAGAAATCTGGCCACGAAATGGGTCACGGCGAAAGACAGCTCGAGCGGATGGATGGATAGATGGTCCCGGCTTTGTTTCTTTTTTTTTTACTTTATTTTTTTTTTTGGCAATTAAACAAGAACCAAACAGACTGTCAACCTTATTTGACTAACGCCAAGTCCGGGGAAAATGCTGCCTTAAAGAAGAAAAACCCCAAGCCGATGCCATCGCGAGGAGTGGAAAAAGAGTGATGACAGACAGTCGGGCTGATTGACTGATGGGCCCTAAGTAACTGAAATTGCATAAGTCCGCTGCTAGGCAGTCCCCATCCTACCATCCTATTCCCATTCCTATTCCTATTCCCAATTCCTTGGCGGATCCTCTGGACTCGCTGGCCCAGCTCTATTCCCGATGCGATTCGCTTTGGTTTTCTTTGCTTTGGTTTAATGCTAATCGAATGTCTCCCGTCTGGATCTTTGTCTTCTGGCCCCCATCCGCCTGTCAGTCAGTCAAAGATTCTTCTTTTCGCCGGCCAAACGAAGATGAAGTTGGCAGTCCGCGCAAGATGGAGAATTCTACAGGAGACAGTACCCCAAAACAAAACCTTCACCGCACACGGCTCGCTTTCATAAACTGAGCAAACAAATGAAAGCTGCCAGCCACCGTTGCTTCCGTTCTCGCGCCAAATGGTGGTTCTTCTTTGGAAAAAAAGAATGATTTCTGCTCATTCTGATGAGTTTTTCATTTTAAGCTGTGTTGCGTGCCTTAAGGTTTCGAAATGTTTATGGCCAATGTTTATGTTTTTTTTTTGGAAATTCGGAATTTCGGTTTTTGACAAAAATATTTTTGTTTTTTAGCTGTAACTTGTCAAAAAATGGTCCTACACCAAAAAGACATACTGTTTTGAACAGATAACAAAATTTGCAATAAATCCATAAAACTTTCCGTATGATTTTGAAAAAATAAAATTTTCGCCAATTTTAATTTTTTTTTGGGGGGTACATCATAATTTTTTGCGAAAAATGGTCAAAAAATAAAATGTCAAGGTTTAAAAGCCAATCGTTAGGAAATTTAATAACGAGTTCAAAAAGGTATGACAGTCCATATTTGGATCAATATTTCCATTGTTTCGGTCAAAAAACTAATTATTTTTTGGTGGAAAATTGGGGTCTGGGTTTTTGGTAAAAATTGAATTTTTTTTTAATTTCATATTTAGGTTTTTAATATTTTCTCATAAAGAATATTCCCGACTCCAGGTTCAAAGTACATATTTTTTAATAAAATCTATTTTATGGATCACATAGTTATATTTCTTCCAAAAAGTGTATCACTAGCTGATGACCTACAGGCTCTATAATTTGGCTCATGATTTATAACTCCACCGTAAGCCTGTCTTGTAAGCCCAATGTTTTCCTTGTTCGAAGTGAAACTGTACAGCAGAGTACAGGCTTTTGGAGCTGTGGGCCCCCGTAAATCAAAAATCGTTCTCATAATCTTGCCTTATCAGCGCCCCATCAACAGATTTCTCCTCTTTCTTTCTCCGGCTTCTTTCTTCTTTTACTTTCATGCTCAGCTGCATGTTTTTCTGTTTTTACTGTTGATGTTGCTGCTGCTGCTGTTTGTTGTCCGTACTGTCCGTATTGTCCGTATTAGGCAGAGCTTATCTCATTGAGGTTTTTTTCTAAGGGGGGGTTGGATCTTGAGTCTTAGAAAGGGGGGTTTTGGGAACAAGCTGGAACATTGTGTGACAATTTGTAGTGCACAATGCCTCGCTTTGTTGCCCCCTTAGCTTTGGCCAATATTGCTGCCGTTACTTGCTTTGCTTTTCAGGCTTTTTCAATCTTTTTCCATCTTTTGCCATCTTTTTCCGTCTTTTTCCCTCACCTAGGTCTGGTTATTTTTTCTAGAGTTCTTCTCCTTGGCTCTGTGGCTCTTGAAATTGCCCATAAAGTTCAAAAATGTATGTGAATGGCCTTTGGCAACGGCAACGGCGGCAACTTCGCTTTTGCCATTTGCTAGTTCATGAAGAGCACACTTTTGTGCTGTTGTTGTGCTGCCTGTTGTTACTGCCGCACGCAATTTGGAATTTATTTACACAATAATTGGCAAGCTGAATCAATACAAAACGCTCTTGGCTGCCCACAAACAATAAATTAACAATTGCCACTTGATTGCTGAATAAAAAGTGATTACCAGCAGGGCAGGCAATCGATAAATGTAATTGAAAAGGTAAAAATATAGCTAGAGAACAAAGAACAAGGAATAAAGAAGAGAGATCTGGTACAGAAGAATTCTATAAAACATAATGGGCCACCGAATTAATTGATATCCACTTACGGGTCATATAAATGTAATTGCTGGGAGTAGATATTCAATACCTACTTATTTATGTAACCGAATGAACTATCTAACCATTTTTCGGTTCATTTACTGCTATAAAACTTGTATTATTTCTTCAACTGTACTTCAATGCAAGCAATTTCGAATTTGATTCCGATTAAACTGACCATAATAAACGATTTATGATTTCGCCTGAGAGCAATGGCAAATAACTGGAGAAACTTTTCAGATTTTTGTGTGGAAAACAGAACTTCCGCTTGCCGCAGAGAATCGGATAAAGAAAGACAGGAGGGGGATGGCAAAGAAACCGCAGAAAAGCCCCAAACTCAGATGCCCATGGCTTGATAAGCTCTGAGCCTGAGTCTCCAAGTTCCAAGGCATTCTCTAGATACAAGCGATAGATATTATATCCAAAGACCAAAGACTTCCTCATAGCTGAGAGCTGAGCAACGAAAAAAAGAAGAGTGGATGGGCGAAAAGAACCAAGTGCATAACTTAATTAGTGCATGGACAATGACCGAAAACTTTGGCGAGGCCGCGACAGAGATGCATCGGTAACTATCGATTATCGCCCAGGCATGTGAGAACTTGTGGTAACGCCCTCGGGAAAAAAAAAAACAAAAAACCAGCGATAAGCTTCAAGGCCCGAGAATAGAGACTCCGGACAAGCCCAGAGAAGAAGAGGCGAATTAAGAATAGACAAAGACAAAATTAATTGCAATGACAGGCGACTGCAAAAGGTGCGGCTCTCCGACCGAAACGCATCTTGGCATCCACATCACCTTCCCAAACAGCATCCACATCCAGATAATAACTTTGAGGGACAGGCGAGTCTGTCCTTCTACACAGAGAACTATTCTCTACATCTTAGCTAACTGCCTGCATTTATTGAAAAAGCTACAAATTAAATAGGAAAGCATTTACCACTAGCGCCCGAACAGGGACTACGCTTTTAACATATTACATGCATATTTTTTACTGATATTTTTTCACTGTGCACTCGCTCTGCCTTTTGTTCTCCTTTTCAAATTCTACCATTTATTTTCGTTTTGTCAGCAGTAAGCCAAGTGGCCAACTTAATTGTCGAAGAGTCGTCAAGGCGGTTCAAACAAATCAAAGCGAGCTACACTGAACCTGCACCTGAACCTGAACCACTGAGCTATAGCACCATTGCACCGCCTTTCGCTGCTTCTTCGGGCATTACTCAATGTCACCAGGGGGGGGGCGGCGGAAAACAGGAGGCGAAGAATTGGTGGCTGGGCGGTAAAATGCCGCCAAAGCGTTTTGCGTTGATCGTCAATTAGTTACACTAAGCCGCCACTGGACAATTTATGGCTGCTGGAGATGGGAGAGCAAAAGGCTCACGAAGATTTCAAAACGATTTGAGATTAAATATAGGAAATCACAATATTAATACCAATAAGAATATTTTTGAATAGAGAAAAAAAGGGTTATTTGGTTATATATTTTATATAAGAACTAACTATTATACCAATTCAATCTAAGTTCACAATTTAAGATTTCTTATGAATTTCGGTTTTTGTAGATTTCTTTCCATTTATAAAAGGCCTTCTTTTATAGTAACCATAGATGGTCGTGTCACGCAGCCATCGCTAAATTAACAAAGACAGACCTAAATGATTGTGAAGACGATTGCAAGTCGAGGGTGCGCATTAAGGCCGCTACAGATGGAGAGATGGATAGATGGATGGATGGGTGCGATGGCCAAGTGGACAGATGGATGGACGAGTTTCGTCTGAGTGACTAATTGCCAGGCGATTGCGTCCTGCACCTCAACTAAAAATAGAAGAAACACTGTCGCAAAAAAAGGCCAAGAGCCGGACCGCAATGATTAGACTTAGATTGCATTGGGTGGAAAGGAAAGGAAAGCCATTCTCCGCTCTCAGCCATTTCTGCCATTTCTGATTTCTTCTCCCGCAACCTCGACTTCTGTCTTCTGGGTTCTGTCTTCTGTTTTCTGTCCGATCCAATCCACTCAACACCTGCCTTGATTTGTGATCGCAATTACAGCGGAAGACATAAAATACACAAGTCCAAGTTGAACCGAGCCCGAAGTTGAGTGGAGTTCACTTCACTCTCCCACCCAAAACAAGAGTTTCCTCCACAGCCTGTCTTTCTTCCATTTGTCTTGTCTTCTTACCTTTGCTTCTGCTCAAATCTTCTCGTCTTCTGATTCCTCTGCGATTGCTTGGCGGCCTTAGCTGCAAGTAGATGGAGAAAGAGAATTTGTTTCTGTTTAGATAAGGTTTGATTAAAATTTATTATTCTACAGGGATATTTCTTAAAGGTTAAAATGATGATTGTTAATAGGCCTGGTTCAAGGAAATCTACAGAGGTTTCTTCACTCACTAAAATACGAATTATGTAATTTCCTAAAAGCTTATTCTGTCCACTTCATAATGACTTTCTCTGAGCATTTTTCACAAAACATCTCAAGTACACAGGTTTCTTTTACCAGCTCAATGCAATCTTCTTATCGAAGCTGCACCAAATTTATTAGGAAGATTGTTTTCCCCACTTTTCGGGTTTCGTTTTTTGCTGCTCAAGAGAAAAACCCGACTTTCAACAAATTATTGAATGATCTTGAGTGAAGTGAGCTCAAGATGATCCCAATTCCGGCATTTCTACGCTTCAAGTTCGTCTCGAGATTGGGATCTTTTACTCCATCAAGTGTTTTCTCTAACGGATCGCACTCCACACTCCACAGGCCACTCCACCTGAAAACAATGCCACTTAATTATAACATATCTTGGCCCCTCCATCGCATCTCCTTCTTATATGAACATATATATATATATATATATTAATAACAGAAAATGCACTTTCCAGTCAAATGATGTTGAAAACGAGTTTCCAATCGATTTGTGCTGCTGCTGCGCGGCTTCTTCTTCCTTTGTTGTTATTTTCTCTTCTCGTTTCGTTTAATTTAAGCCACTTTCTGAGGAGGCACACACATATATATATATATTGGCCTTTTACGATGGCAAAAGTTGAAAAATGAAAATTCCATTTGAGGCGGCCAGCGCGCTCCACTCAGTTTAGTTTTCAGTTCAGTTCATCCATCCATTCAGATGCCGAAACTCCGATTCTGGTTCTTTGAAAACATGTTTTTTCTGTGGCATCTTCTCTTGCTGCGTAACGGTAACTACTAGTAGGTAGATACACACAGATACAAAAAGATACACGGCTTTTACACCGCCAGCGAAAAGCTAATGACATATTGATATACACAGGCCCCCCTAACTATATAGCATATATTGCATATAGCATGGCAAATGCCACACCCATTTTTGTGGGTTAAAGTCGCTCGGGTTTTTTCTTCTCCTTCTTCTTCTTCTTGGATTTTCCAAGCAATAGACGAGATTTGCATGCAACATGCTGAGTAATTAAAACAACAGTGAGCGTCGAGCGGCGCAACATGCCGGCAATTAAGGCGGAGAATAAATGATTACTTGACCGAATTGCAAGTCTCCACCTCTCCAACTCTCCACCTCTACAACTCTCCACGCCGAGAGGCCATAAAACAAAAGACTCAAGACACAAACGCGACCAAATGCGGCTAGGGAAAGCGAAGAAATAAATAATCATTCTCCATTCAAATGAAATGGCCATTGCCATTGCTATGCAAATGTAAATGTAAAGTGCAACGCCTGGCTGGATTTGCTCTGGATTTTAAATACCATTACATTATAAGATCGTAGCCAAGAGAAAGAACATTCGCACACTCCAAAAACACACTTTCCACCATACACACACATTGCCATTTGCATACGCATGACGTTCGTAATTAGCCCTTCTTTGTTGTGTACTCATTAAATGCCGAGTACTGAGTACCGAGTACTGAGTACCAAGTACCAAGTACCCAGTACAGTGAACTCCAGTCCAGCCCACCTGAACCAAAGAACAACGAGGTGTATGAACCTAATGGGCGGCACTCACGCACCCAAGAAAAACTACCCAACTCGTTTTTCCCTCGAGCACGTCAAGTGCACCAAAAAATAAAGAAATAAAAACCATTTGGAATGTGTCGAAATGAGAACTTGAAATTGACACTGGTCACGGACCCTAAGAAAATGAAATGGGAACACTTTCACACGTTCACCGGTTAGTTTTTCAGCTTTCTGTGTTGTTGGGGCAGAAGACCTTTCTTCTTTCTTTCAGCGCCCTCGCCATCAATCAATTTAAATTTAAATTTGAATTTTTTGGTAATGTACACCGAGTTAAATACAAAAAGAAAGGAAGAACAGACGGCTTTAATTGGCCGTAATTATGAGCGGGGCATTTCGTGCTTTAGGTAGATAAAGCTTGTGAAAGCTGTAAATGCATAAAATGCCTTTCTTACCAAATACATTTTTTTTTGTTCTCAAGGAAATATGCTAATTTAAAATGAAGGGAAATTTTGTTTAACAGGTTCGTAAAGATAATTGTTTTAATAAATATTTAAAAAATTCTTGAAACATCGACTTTCTCTTAAATTAGTTTATTTGATTTGGAAGAAAATATTTGCTCAATGAATGAAAACCATTCAGCAAATGATGGATCGAATGACTCATTCTACTTTAAGGCGTCTCAATAAAGACATACCATTCATAAGGTATTCGCTTGTTAATCATAAATTGGGTAGGATTTATTAGGTCTTAATAAGTCTTCAAGTTCTCTACAGAATGAAGGTAAGTTTATGGGCGGATTTCTATTTTATTATTCGGATGATAGGATGGGCACTAAGAAATGTTCTATAATTCGAAACTAATTGTCTTTATGCATTTATGCAGGCGGATTTAGTCTATAATTTATTACTACTCAATCGGCATAAGTGATTCGCTTTGCTCCGGAACAATCAGCTATTCAAATTAGCCGGCAGTTTGATTTGCATTCGTTTGGAACCGGGCCATTCATTCCATTCCATTCATTCACTCGCCGATTATTCACTTCACCATCTTAAGTGCATTCATTTAGCGTTTACTGCTATCGGCCTCATATTCCATTGAATAATTTTATGGCCTAATTGGGAACGAAAGTTTTGGGTCCACAGCGTCATTGTGCTATGACAAAAATAAAACACAGAAAAAGCATAAGCCAATATACCGAATCCCAAATACCGAAACCAAAGCCAAAAACAGAGATACGAACACAACTTTGGCCCACATTTTCCTCCTTTTTCTTGGCCGCCGCCGAGAACCAGCTATATAAGTCATAACTAAGAAGCATTTCGTTTTAATATGGCTTATAATACCAAATATGGGGGGAAGTTGGGCTGGGAAGTCGGGGCTGTAAACAAAACAACCGTTGGAATAGCACAGATTCCTCAAGCGAGATCTTGGCTGCCTGTTCTTTTTTTTTTGATAGCATAGCTTTTTATAACACCGTGTTTTCGTTTTGTTTCCGTCAAAAGAAAACGAAAAGATTTCAGCTGGAACGACGACACAAGTGCCAGATCATCGTCATCATCATCATCGTGGCCGAAGAATCAGAATCTACACCATCACGATGATGATCTGGCTTATATTCGGTGTAATTACCATGGCCAAACGACGAAGCAAATTCGATTTGGAACAGTTTTCGTTTTATTGCCAAAATAAAAAAGAGAAAAGAAGAAAGACGAAAGAGCCACTTTCCTATGATTCGTTCGCTTCAAGGCCAGTTGGTTTTGGAGTGTCTGTCTTTTTTTTATTTATTTATTTTTTTTTTTTTAATTTTTTCAAATGATCACTACTTTTACCAGAATCCCAACAATGCAAATGTAATCCTTTAAGCACTGAATACCTGGCCCTTCTAAAACAAACTCTTTCGCTGACTTTGAGCACGTCTGAGTGACTGAGCCCATCTCTCGAGAACCCACTTCAATCATCACTCGTCACTCATGTGATCCTCACTCGCCACTCGTTGCTCATCAGCCATCACTCGGTCTTGTATCGCTTCACCCATTCCTCAGCGGGCCCTCGAAATCCCAAGTGGTAAGTGAGTGGGTGAGCTCTACTCATTCGCCTGGCGAATCTCCAACTCCAATTGTGTGTTGTCATGCGTCTGGGGCCGAACAGGTGCCACCAATTGAATCCGATTCCGAATCCGAATCCAAGCTGACCCACATAGGCAACCCAAAAAAAAAGGCAGTAGAAGAAAGATTACAGGGGAGGCGAGGAGAATCTGTGCCAAGCCAAGCGGCACAAGCCAAAAAGAAGGCCACCAAAGCGGCAAGCTAATGAAATCGGAGATGCTAATGAGGGGAGGCTGCGAGCACGAAGAGTGCTGTTCATTAGGTAATAAAGCATCAGTCACAGACTCTGCAAAGAATCATTATTTCAATCTATTAAAGTGGCAAGGATACAAGGAATCATTATTCCAATATATCCTAACTCATTAAGACAACATAAAATCCCTAAAGCAGATATCCAATGTAAAGAATAAGGATGGAGAAATTACTATAAACCAATTAAGACACAAACTCAATTTAAACAAATCTATATTATCTATATTGAAGACAAGAGAAAGAGGAAAAGAAAGAGCAGCTGCAGCTACCGCCAGAGGGCGCTGTCTTACTACTGCCCATGTTTAAGTTCCCCCCCAAAAGAAAATTTCCACAGTCCGTTGTATTTTTGTGTGTTTGATGTGCCAGATTTTAACCGACCGAAGAAAGGGGGACTCGAAGATAGAAGACGGAAGAGGCGAGGAAGAAGAACGGCCAGCTGGAGTGACCGCCAGAGGGCGCTTTTCCCGGCTCATCTCAATCAGACCGAATTCATTCGTTTCATTTGGAATTTCAAATTAGTCGGCCGCCCGCAACCAATTTCCGCTTTTGGTCTAAACTGGGCCAAAAACGTACGTTCGCGTTCGCGTTTAGCGTTAAATCTTTTGTGTTCTGTTTTGTTTCTTTTCCGTTTTTGGGTCAACTTTGAACACGCATTGGAAAAGAGAAATGTGCCGAGTAAGTTGAGAGTTTAAAGTGGAAATCCGTATTTAATGAGGAGAAAATGCGATGTTATTTGTCTAGTTTTTCTCTACCATACCATTCGATATTTTTTTCTTCAATTTCTGCCTCAATTGATGGATTGCGAGGCTGGTTTAATGGCGCTGTCGTTGATTTGCATCGCGGCAAGACATTAATTGATGTTGGGATGCTAATGCCTGCCCCTTGGGGTCGGCATCTCATTTGGGTTCTTTGTTTGCCGCTTTTCTTTAACCGAAGTGCAGAAGTTTTCCGCCTGCAGGTTCCAGGTTCCAGGTTCCATTTCCCAAATCGCCTTTAATGGCTTCTCTGTGTTCTATGGTCGCTGTGTTCTTTGCGCCTCACTTTTTTTTCGTAACATTTTTTACGATTCGATTATAAAAGTATAACCCGCACTCACAGAGTCGAGGTCGTTTTTATGCAAGATTATTACATTATTTCCGGGGCGCTGAAAACAATAAAGTTTTCATTCGAACCAAGTTCGTTTTGCTACTGGGAAACCCATTAAACCAGACGCCAGACACAACACACCACACCATCTGGAGGCCCCCTAAAAATGGGGTTTGGGTTGGGTTGGTTTTGGGCTGGGTTTTTGTGTTGTCCCCGGTATCTGTATCTCTACCCATCTCTCTCCCTCACTGTTTCTTCACATTTCCAACCGCAATGTTCTTCTGCTTCTGCTTTTCTTCAGCGACGGTGGTTTTTTTAATGCGTTTCTCATGCTCTCGGGACCGTTGCTTTAGTTTTTCTGCGCACACGCACAAGAACACTGGCCACTAAATGCTTTCCTAATGAATTGGGTGACCATACCGCTGGGTAATAACGGTTAATTGCGTTAATGACTTTAGCAGAAAACTGAAGAACTGAAATAGCCAACAGCCAAACAGCGGGAAAAGAGCATGGAGGGTGGGCTACCCACCAATTGCAACTTTTAGTTTTTATACTTTTTTGTAAAGCATACTTTAGCTTTAAATTCACCAATTTTTAAAGAGGAAAAATAATAAATATTTTAATTTAAATTTTTAAGAAACAAAACTATTAAATATTTTGTGATAAAAAAAATGAAATATTTATGAGGCAGTTCTTCTTGGCCACCACTTTAAAGTCTTGCGTTTTCCAATGAAATTAAAAAGGTGGCAGCAAGCTCTGCAAACGCATCCCCTATTGGTCATGCACATGAACAATTCAAGGAAATTTCGAGTTTGCTGCCTGAGTCTTTCCTTTTCAAGTTCGTCTCCCAAGTCTTTCGTTTTCAATTGCGTTACGGGAAGAAAAAAAAAGGTAAAAAGGTGCACGAAAGGGGCCTTTGAGCAGGTGACAATTGGCCGGGCAAATAGTGGTATAAAATAAAATAACTGAGAAGAGACCTCCTGGCCAGAAACCTACTCACTCCGAAAGGTGTCACTTTTGACGACGAGAAAGGAGGTAATCATGCTCGTAATGGAAACGAAAAAAAACGGAGAGAAAGAGGTGCAATAGAATGGAAGAAGAGACCAACGCATTTTTTAGATGGAATTTTCTGAAATTCTTTTCTTTACTTTGGCTGTAGATATTTAAAGAAAGATTTTTGTTATTTTAAGTTATTGAACAGGATTCTTTGGCGTTTTGGTTTAGGAAAAACCCGATTTTGTAAAGATTAGCTATGTAAATTTATAAACTATACTTTTTATATAAATATGGGAAGCTTTAAAAAATTTTATTTTAAATTAAAAAAATCTTTCTATTTTTAATTTTGGTTTTTATAAAGTTTTTTTAAAGGCTTTAGCAAATAGATTATTATAATTGTTCTTTATATTGGCCTCTTGTATAGTTTATTATTTAAAATGTTTTTGATATAAAATCCTTGGGCGCACGACTTTAAAAATTTGTTTATCCACTTTTGTTTTGAAAAAAAAATGTAAAAAAAATCACTTGTGCGTTTTTTGCGTTTTGGTCTCTTACCTTTTGCTTCGTTTATATTGCACGTTAATCCTTTAGCGAGTGTTTTTCAGTGTGTTTTTGCACTTTCACAGTTTGTGTTTTTTTTGTATTTGACGGTGGTTTTCGGTGGCTGTTCACTTGTGGTTGTGTTCACTTGCCAAAATCGCAGCCGCAAGGAGTGGGATTTTTCACACACGCGATTGAACCAAAAAAAAAAAAGAAGAAGTACAGAATGTGTCCACGCTGCTGATGAATCCGCTGGGCGATGATGATGATGGTGTGGTTTTTTTTTTGGTGATTGGCGATCAACTGCTGGCTGAAAACTCGAGCGGTACGAGGTGTTAGCACTTCAATTGCATCACGCGCAATGGCTGCTGTTGGCGGTCGAGCGCCACTTTTATGCCTTTCCCAGCGGTCCGAGCCATCCAGCCACAAGAAGAAGAACCAACCATCCAAGCCCAGACCCAAGCCCGAACCCCCAATCCGAATCCGAATCGGAATCGGAGTCCGAAACCCGGAGAGCGGCTAAGAACGGACAGAGAAAGCAGCAGCACAAGCCCCATTTCCACCGCACTCACACACACACACACACAGAAGCATTATCAGCGCTCTCACACGCTCCAGCGATCGTACACTCGGAGAAATATTTTTAAAAATATTATTTTCACCTAGGTGGCATTATAGGCAACATTTCATAAAAAGCACAAGAATGAACTTCTTGGATAAAAACTACTTATTTTTGGGTTTATATGAGCGTTCTTACTCTTAGAAATTGGAAAATAAATGGACTCTTTTCCAAGTGTACAAAAAGTGAGAGAGCCCGCTGAGAGAACGCTCTTCACAATTACAACTCTCTTCCGAGGCCGCTCTTTGTTTCTTTCTTGTAAAGTTCATAGCATTGAACTTGAAAGAGAGAGAGAGAGAGAGAGATCAGAGCGACCTTCTTCTTTTGCAACGGCACCTGTTAACAGAGTTACAACCATTTGCATGTACAGTGGGCACCTCGGTAAGGAGAACTCCATATTACAGTCAATAAATGTGTAAAATGTTTCCCAATAGTTTAAGGAATTTTTAATGATATTCTTATAAAAAATGTCTTCAAGTAAAAATATTTTAATATAAAAAATACAATAAAGCAATATTTGCCCTTTTCCTTTTTTTCCATTAGTTCATTATTTCTAGCTTGCACTGTTTACCACATTTCCACGTCAATAAAATTTGCATATATTTTTCTATTATATAAATATGTTTTTGATAAATAAATATTTAACACTACGGTATAATATTAACTTTAAATTAAATAATATGCGTACTTTCCCTGGCAGGGATCTCCTTACAAATAAAGACCAAAGATGATTTGGATATTATTATTTAAAAATTTGAATTTTTCCCCCCAGCAAGGATAATGAAACGGAAATCCTACGTAAATCCTCCAAGTAAGCAGCATCTAGCGGTTGGGAAATCTTTATCTGCCGAGTGTGTACAATAGTCGTAATAAAGCTGATAGTTTAGCCACCCAGGGCGGTATTTCTGGCAATGCCACCTGATATAAATGTATATGTATATTCCCCACTATATAGCAAAGTAAGCCATAGCACGCCCATTAAAACAGGGTCGTAATGAACAAATTTTGATCGCCCCGGCAAAAGTGCGGAACGGAATGGAACGGAACCAAGCGGCACTTTATTTGAACTCGCTCGGTGAAGGGGGATTCTCGAGGAGAGAAGAGAAATGACGATGTGAAACACATATTTGCATTATACATTAACGGTCGCCAGTGTCAAGGGAGGGAGGGGCAGGGGCGGCGAGGGGGGGCGACTAGGGGAAGCGAGAAACCAAGAAAATAAACATTAAAGTAAGTCGCGGCGGGGTTAGTGAGTAGTTGGTGCACTCAGAAAAAATTTTTTATTATTTTAAATTTCTTTTTTTTTAAGTTCTGTAAATTTTAGAATTTTAGGTATCAGACTTAAGAACCTAACAATTTTTTTTATATATTACTAGAAAGATATTAATTCTTTATATAATACTATTTTTCTCTTTGTGTAGCACTGAGTGAACAGTGAGCAATGAGCAATGAGAACTTAGCCAAAGTCGCTCCACGCACTCAGGTCATTGCCATGCTGTCGTTGCCTAACATTTGGCCAACAGCAAATGGCTAACAGAGAGCGCCGAAGAGTTGGCTAACAGAGAAATGCTCCTGCTCTCTTCAAGTGCAGCTGCAATGGCAATCATAATTCATTAGAGCAACATCAATCGGTATCAAAATCGGGGCTTAGCACACAGGAAAAAAAAGATATTAAATGAAGATCGATTGGATTCCTAATTAACATGATATATTGCTGTGAAAAATGGGGTATGCTTTGCTACTAAAGCCTAAATTAATATTACATAATTATATCAAAAAATTGAATAGACTGAAACCGTTTTATATGCAGTTTTCCATTTGGAATTGATCTGATTTTCTTTTTGTGTGCGGAATCGGGAATGAGCAAAGCTTGACATAACAGCAAAATGAATTGCTTTTCACCGAGGTGTGGAGATGCAGTTGCAGTTTGCTGCGGTTGCAACTGTTGCAGTGGCAACCGTAATTAAGATTGGAACGAATTGCAGAGCAGAGTCGTAAGAATTTAAGAACAGGAACGAGCCGGAGAATCAGCCACAGTAGCCACCGCGAAAGCGTAAAGAAATCACTTAAATTGATACAAATAAAAGCTGGGGATATTTGTCAGAAAGATATGGGGTATATACGTTATAAGCAATAAATCAAATTTTTAATATATATATATATACATATATATATATATATGATTTTTTAAATAATAGGTATAAAAAATAATTAAGAAAACAGATCTCATATAAAAAATGTAGATCTTTTCTTATTCGTTTGACAAACTTGGTTAAAAATTGATCATGATCTCTTGGAATCTTCTTATAGAAGAATTGTTCGTTGCGCTCTTTGAGTTCCGCTTAGTTTTCCTATGCCCCCTTCCACAATTTTCCACCTTGCACTGTGTCACACAAACCAATAAACAAACAAACAAACATGTGTGTGTATATATGGAAAAGCACCGTTGTGTCAACTGTCTCGCTCACTGGATTTTGGGCGCCATCCCCCAGAAATTCTTGAGCTTCAGCTACCAGATCTTTCAGATCTTCTGGTTCCGGCCGATGCATTTTCGATCAACGTAAATTGCCAGGCTTTCTGGTTGTAAACCCCTTTTCACCATCACATTTTCCAGTTTTCGCGCCATTTATCGAAGAATTCTGGACATGTTCTAAATTTTTGCAGAAGCTTTTACTTTTTTGGTCTTTGTTTCAGTCCATCAGATGATCTATACAAATTTACAAAAATTAAGATGTTTAAATTTTTGGTAATCTATAAAAATGATTATTATATTTATACCCTTGCAGAGGGTATTATGATTTCAGTCAGAAGTTTGCAACGCAGTGAAGGAGACGTTTCCGACCCCATAAAGTATATATATTCTTGATCAGCATCACAAGACGAGTCGATCTAGCCATGTCCGTCTGTCCGTCTGTCCGTCTGTCCGTCTGTCCGTCTGTCTGTTTCTACGCAAACTAGTCTCTCAGTTTTTGAGCTATCGGGATGAAACTTTCCCAAAAGTCTTCTTTCTATTGCAGGTAGTATATATGTCGGAGCCGACCGGATCGGACAACTATATCTTATAGCTCCCATAGGAACAATCGGAAAAAAAAAACTTTAAAAAATTCTAGCTTCGGTGTTTTTTGAAATATCACCTTCTACTTTTGGGGATGTTATTTTTTAAATATATTTGAATTTCGAATTAATTATTTAAAAAATCGGACTACTATATCATATAGCTGCCATAGGAACGATCGGAAAATTAATGGAAAAGTAATAGGAAATAAATTCTAGCTTCTTTGGTTTTTATTGTATTATCTTCTACTCTAGGATATGACTCTTTTTAAATATTTCCGAATTTCAATTTTAATTTAATCAAAATCGGACGACTATATCATATAGCTGCCATAGGAACGATCGGAAAATTAATGAGAAATATTAGAAAATTGAACATTTTTGCGATTTGTTAATTAATAGGAATGATCTGCAAGGGTATATAAGCTTCGGCTGGCCGAAGCTAGCTTCCTTTCTTGTTTTCTAAACATTTTATGTTAACCTACTTATATTTGCCAACTGACCTATATATTCCATTGTATCCCATCTATATAATTTGGATCTGCATGAAGGTCGGATAACCTTTCACCGTCAGCGAAATCCGAATCAAAATCCGTATAATCGCTTGTTGATTTTAGACCGCTGCCTGATTTAACTTCATTTCTTGTTAATTACTTTTTATCATTGGCTCGTCTATTTGGTTCGTGATGCAGGCGCCGATATGGCCCACAGATGGCCATTAACCCGTTAGCTTTCTTTCAATGGGAAATTGATTGTCCCAACTAGATTCGTGCCTCCGACTTTTACGATAGCTCAAAAAAAAAAAACAAAAAACATCGAAACACCGGCCAAAAGTCGTCAATGGATCTCGCCCCGTTTGATCATTATAACCGGAAGCTGTTGATCGCCAACGGGAGAAGTGGAGAGGTCGAAAGAGTCCCAAGAGGAATGGTTTAACCAAATGACGTAGAATGAGGAGATATAATGATGGATTCCCTTTATTTTTTTTTTGGGCAGGGAGGGGAGGGGTTTTCATGTTCGGTGTATTAGATGTCTGGATTTTATGGGCTGGGAAGCGGATTGTGTTATTATCTATTGCCAGGGGAATTCCTCGGGGAGCATGTGATTACATAATTAGAGGATCATCTTAGAACTAGTATCCATTCAAAAAGAGAAAAATTCAATCTTCTGAAAATTAAATCATTAAACTTAAGGATGGAAAGATGCCCGATTGCTTATTTTTGTGGTGCAGCCTAAATGCTATTTAAATTTCTTTAAAAATGTATATCCTGCTACCTTCACCAAAGGCTACGACTAAAAACATTGGGCGTAAGTAGCAATGATTTATTACAACTCAAATGCGGCCCTAAGCTATAACTCGGACTAAGGCTAAATCATCTCTCCTAACCAGAACTCGCGGCATTAGCGCTAATAAAGCCGAGAAATCCCCATGATCATTGCTCATCTGCGTCTGCAATCCAATCTCTGTGCTGTGCTGTGTGGACCGCTTCCAGGTGTCCATCATGACTTGGCCTAAACCCTCCTTCAGCTCCGTCAGTTACCACTTTCCTTGGCACTCTTCACACCTTTGCCAAGTGCCGAGTGGCAGCAATTCCGTTTGTCCGAAAACAAAACGGCCAAAAAGGCCCAAAAAGCCATTACCAACACACAATCAGCCAACGTGGCTAATTAGCGCCTTCAAAGGCAGTAGAAGTTG